TGACTCCAAGTCAAGAGGGTGGGAGAATTGGAGATGATAGTTTGGAGCATTCTAGCCAAATTTTGGAGGAAACTAGATTTCAGGATCTAGTCCAGTCTACAGGTATAAAACAAATCCTCCAAGACAAGAAACAGCACTAGAATCTGATATCCACAAAGATGATTATTATTGAAACATATTTTTTCTCTCTATAATCATCCCCCATTTCTATCAAAGATAACCATAGTAAGACTAATTAGTTTGCAAATTAAGATTGGTTTCAATACACTCAGTCTGATTATTTATGCAAGTGCACAAGAATACTGAGTGATCATATAGGTGCTTTTAATTCTGCTTTGCTATAACTTTTCACAAGGAAACTCAGATTGGACTTTCAAGAGCCTCTCCAGGCCAGGAAGCCAAGCCTGTTGTGTCCTGTTATAGGGAGGACAGATTCTTATCGAACTTATGCCAACACGCATATTGTCATGAAAAATAAGAGTATTTCCTAAGAGCTTCTGAATTCTGGAGGGATCACATAGGGGAAAAAAAAGAAACACTTTTCAATCTCTGTTGCAAAGATACACTTTACCAAATTGTTGTACATCATAGATAGCTTAAGACAGGAGAAAAGGGGTCCTTTACACCCAGAAAACAAGACATGAAAGAACCAGCAATGTTGTAATCGAGGTCATCCGAGTTACAGTCATCTCCATCAGGTCGCTCAGTGTTTTGTGATTAATTCTTGCATCACTTCATCTCGGGTTAGTGGCTTTATGAATCAATCAGCTTTCCATTAAAATTTTAGAAATTCTTGCTCAGTTCAGTGCTACGGTCTTGAGGTTATCGGAAGAGCGGCATTCTAGAGTGCTTGTCAGGATCGCTCCTGGGAATGTCTTTGAAAAGGAAGCACTTTTGCAGGAACATTTTGCAAAAGCATCAGAGTAAAACAATAAGTGACTGTAAATGGCAGAAAAACTTAAAATGGCCATGGTTAAAGATCTGTGAGAGTTCATTATAATGCCATTGACAAAGAAATTTGGTTATATCTATGACATACATTTTAAAACAGTAACTAGAATTATGACTGATAACATTATAGCAGGACATGTCAGGTTTTTAAGAATCTCATAGAATTTCTGGAATGCATGTATTATTAACATATATTTATACAAATTTAAGCTAATGAAAGTTTATCTTCACTTCTTATTTGACAATGCTTCCCATGTAACGCAACATATCAAATAAGCCTAACTAGTTCAGCATTTCTCTGTTATAAGGAGAGAGAACAAATCTTTTGAGATAGTCCAGGGACCCTTTTTAAAATCCCAAAGTTAGTTTGAGGTCAAAAAGACATCATTAGAATTTGGTTTTTGACAAGTTTGTCAAAAATAGCCCAAGGTTTAAAACACTTGATCAGATAGGATCACAGTTCACCATGAAAACAGTACATAGTCATCTGTTGGCACCAAAATGACAATTAAAAATTTCAAAGCCAAATACAGAAAGTTACAGAGTTGCAAAAATGACCTTAGTTCTTTCAATAGAGAAGACTCAGTTATTTTAGTAGGTAATCAAAGACTTGGTAAAGACAATGTGAAGCGCAGGAAAATTACATTCCTAAAATACAGAATCTGGGGTGCCTGGCTCAGTCATTAAGCGTCTGCCTTCGGCTCAGGTCATGATCCCAGGATCCTGGGATCGAGCCCTGCGTCTGGCTCCCTGCTCGGCGGGAAGCCTGCTTCTCCCTCTCCCACTCCCCCTGCTTGTGTTCCTTCTCTCACTGTCTCTCTCTCTGTCAAATGAATAAATAAAATCTTTAAAATAAAATAAAATAAAATACAGAATCTTTGTTTCATAGGCAGATTACACCAAAAGTAAAGAAAACCTTTGTTTACAATTTCTGATTAGGGGTGGACTGATAATCTAAAAAAAAATTTGTGATTTTAACAGAGCAAAACCTAAATTCTGATTTTGTACCAGTGTACTTTTGATATTAAAAATCTTTTTTTTTTTTTTAAATTTTAAGTGGCTCCATGCCCAACATGGGGCTTGAATGCATGACCCCAAGATTAAGAGTCACTCACTCTGCTGACTGAGCCAGCCAGGCACCCCCTAAAATTCTTTTTTTTTTTGAAGTTAATCCATTACGACCTTAGTCCGCTTGACCACACATTAAATTGCTTTTTTGAAATCTTTTTCCACAAACTTCTTGCAACTTTCTATATCCATTTAGGCTTTTCCTATCTTTTCCCTTTCTTATTCCAGAACAGTCATTTTGCTCTAAGACAAAATTACTTTCTTTTTCCCTTACTAACCCCAACCCCCAAAACCAAACCCAAAACAATAACAACAGAAATCCATGTCTTTTATACCTTTTCCTGTTCAAAAACACATTCAGAGACAATGGAATGTAGTCTTTGACTGGTATACCAAAGCTGCAAGACGAAAGGACTCCAAAACACAGCTCCAAAAGTGCCCTTACAGGTGCAAAATAAAGAATGTTTCACAAAACCCCTTTGGCCATCTGGGCAGGTATGCACATTAAGTTGGAGAGCTTAGAACACAGAGAGCAGAGCTCAGATCCGAGAGACTCACCCGCAAACTTCAGGGTTGGTGAGAAAGCGCTGAGCACGGTGGGCTCTGTGGGAGGCAGGACCTGCCTGCACAGCAGCCTCAGAGTCATTGTGTGGGGCCGGGGGGGTGTCCTTTTTTTTTTTGGATCCCACTTCTGACACCATGAAATGTTGAAAGTTTCCACCTAACAGAAGGAAAACCAAGGAATCACCCAAGTAGGACTTACT